AATATAAACATTTAATGATCTTTCAACAATCTTAGAATCAAATATATCCATGAGTGCTGGAATAGTTTCTTCGCTATTTAAGTCAAGTACATGAATCTTATCTATTAATTTTTCAGAAATTTGATTTAAATTTACTATAAATTCATCTACATCATTATTACCATCAATATAGTCATCGCTACTATCAATATAGTTATTATTATCTAAAATATTACTTTCTATTTCATTTAATTTTTGTGTTTTTTTTCATTTTGTTTTGACATTAGATTTATATACCAAGAGACCTGTGCCATTTTTGCAGCCTGTATTGGTGATAATCTGTTACGATGTTCTGTATGTATATTGCCTAATAAAGACCATACTCATTCAGAAGTTGCTGAATTAGGTGGAATTGATAAAAGACAGCATGCAAATCACTTAAATTTGGAGCCACATTTAATATAGTGCACCAATATCTTAATGAAAATCTTGTAAAACTTGGATTTTTGATAGATGATGCAGAAAATAGACCCTCATGATTTGAGTAATTTAACCATTCATCAATAAATATGTCTTGATTATAATCTGGATAAAAAGTACAAAATAAGCCATATGCAGTTTCTTGAATATATAGAAGCCATGTTGGATTTAATCCTTCACCGTGATGATATGGATGAAGAAATCAGATAATTAAATAAACTGTATTGAATATTTTTTGCCAACAATTATCAATTTCTATAATTAAAGAATCTTGAAAATTGTTATTAGTAAATATGCTTTTGTTAATAACTTCATGAAGCCATACCCATAACGCAGCCACCTGACCCAATGTTGTTTTTTTGTTTCAAGAATTTTCATGACATATACGTCACTCTGGTTATATCGACACTCTCTAGCAATGAAAAAATTGTCGATATATCCAGATGTCGGTTTAACCAAAGACCTTATACTATAATGACATAATATATAATCATATGAATATATCGATTTAACTAGTGACTAATATAATATATATCTTTTTATTAATTTAATATTTTCATATATACAAACTAATTATGTATTGCTAGCTAAAACCCAAAACTATATATAAATTTAACCCAGAGCTTACAAATTACTAACAGCCAACAATCTAAGTTTCCAATATAAATTCCATTCTTGTTATTTAATTAGTACTATTTGAATTTGTTCTTAAAAATAATCTATCATTTTTAAATTACATATAAATAAGTATACATTTTATTTTTAGTTTCTAAAATTTATTAACAAATATTTTTTAATTATTAGAACTGATTATTTAGTATCCTCACAATATATAATACATACATATATCAGAAAATTATTAATAATATAAACATAGTGTTTTACTTTATTGATAATATTATATAGAAGTTAAAAACAAATAAAAAAAATCTTAGACCTACCTGATTTTATTTATATAAACCAACCCTAAAATACTACATAATCCTATATTTTAAAAGAATATTATAATGAACTAAATAAACATATCAATATATAGCATATTAAAAACTATTCATAGATAAAAAATGACTCTAACATTGTTTGTTTAGAGTTTTTTTTTGATAAGCTAACAAGTTCTTTCATATTCGTTTGAGTTCAGCAAATACTTTAATATCAATTTCAATATTTGCATTAGGCTGATCAATATAATCTAAAATCGAATCTACTCTGGCAATAGCTTGAATAGTTGTAACAGATTTAACTGGCTTTTCAGGTTCTTCCTCATCTTCTTCTTCTTGCATTTCTGCTATAATATCTTCAATTTTGGGAATTTCACTTGTTATATATTTGTTATCAATTTCAATAAATTCATGTGTAGAAATACTAGTTGTTAATTTAGAATTTTCTGGATTTTTTAAATTTTGGTATTGCATAATAAGTTCTTCTAACTCAACTTCTTCATTATCATTAGGTTCAATTGAAGATTCAAAATCTGCTGAAGGAAGAATTTCTGTTTTTTGCCATGCATGAATAATTATATCTTCGGTAACATTTTCCCAAGCCTTTGCTACAAACTGAATTGCATCGTAAATTATTACTGGATCTGGAGATTAATTTGTTATATTTGATTCATCAAATGCAGTAATTCAGTTTTGTAATAATAGTTTGCAATAGTGGTACTAAATTATATATTTATATATAAAAAGTTAAAATTATTGTTATTATTTTATTTTCTTAAGAAATGTAATTTAGCGAAAGCAATAATTAAGATGATTAAAAAGAATATATTTGTATTTAAAAAAATTATTTATTTGTTTTTTTAAATTATTTCTCAAAGTAATACTTAGAGTATTATTTAGATAAATATATGTAGCAGTAGTATTAAACTAATATAATCATGAGTTACTATGAGTTTGATATAGCAAAATTTACAATAAATTTTTCTTATATAAATAAAAAAAGAGTTAAAAATTAACCTTGAAAGAATAAATAATACCAGCATCGCATGGTTGCAACCATGCAGTAGTATTTGGTGGGAAAAAATGTACTTTGACATT